CATATATCCTGCGAAAACATCTAGTAAAAATTCGCAGAATATTTGAGATATACCTTTTAAATAGTTTCAATTTGATTATCCTTTTTATAGGTATAATATACAACAACAAACAACAACAGCTTTATTAGGTAATTTCCATCCTGTAAGGACTCGCCATACATCATTTTCATGGAGAAAAGGAAAAAAAAAAAACATAAACAAAGCAGAGAAGGGAAAATGAAAAGAAATTCAAAGACTATAGAAGGAAATTGTTCTGTAATTTTAGTTCTTAGAGATTATATATAAATACTAGCGGATGTGCCCGGCTTCGCCCGGGGTTTACCCGAATGAATGTTTGTCTAACGAACATTTGTTAAAACAATTATCTTTAAACTTATAAAACGTACTCGGCTTCGCCCGGGGTTTTACCCGAGTAAAGGTTTGTCTAGCGAACATTTGTTAAAACAATTCTCTAAAAACTTATTAAAAAAAAAAGATATATTTTGATAATTTGAAACTCGTAAATTTGAATCTCTCGATAAAGTGAACATTTTTTCCCGGTCCCTGTGTGCCGTGTCATCCTGAATTTTGTCTTTCCTAATTTTCTACATTAGAAAATCATAGTTTTATCTAGTGAACATTTTTTCCCGGTCCCTTGAAAAATACTCGATAAGTTGAATAAAATCAATATTAATTGGTTCCCTCGGTAATTGGAAGTTAAAGGAATAGTATCTTCGCCTTGGAATTGTATCATTATTCTTGTCGCAAATAAATTGCCGTGTCATCCTGAGATAATCTTACTTTTGATAAATAATATTTAAGATAACAGACTTAGTGATAAGAAAACTTGTTATCATCGTCACAATGGGGGCGCTGCTTGCGAGTTAAATCTACAAATCTGCAAATAACTCAAAGGATATTCAAGATATTCATGAAATTATTTTTCAAAAACCTTCCCGGTGATATACCTAATAATATCCCAAAATTTCACGGCGATTGGATGTATGGTTTTTGAATCTATAGAGTACAGATAGACAGACAGAGAGACATTCAATTTTATATATATAAGATAATATAAATGAGTTTTAAAAATTGTAAAAATAAAATGCATCGGCCGGGAATCGAACCCGGGCCGCCCGCGTGGCAGGCGAGCATTCTACCACTGAACCACCGATGCTTAAAAAATGGCCATATTTAGGTATTCATTCCATTCCGGATTAGTCCGCGTCAAGAAAGTTCTTCAAATGAAAAAAAGAAATAGCCAAAAATACTAATCAAAATGCAGCCGAAAATTTTCCTCAGGTTTATAAAAAGCGACATGCAAAATTTGGTACCAATTGGTTCAGAAGTTTTTGAGTTTATCGCGAAACAGACAGACAGACAGAAATTGAATTATATATATATATAGAGATTTACTCTTCATTGTTGGCTTTTTAACTTACATTCATTCTTCATTGTTGCCTTTTTATATTACATTCACTCTTCATTGTTGGCTTTTTATCTTACATTCACTCTGTTGGCTTTTTATATTACATTTACTCTTCATTGTTGGCTTTTTATCTTACATTCACTCTTCATTGTTGGCTTTTTATATTATATTTACTCTTCATTGTTGGCTTTTTATCTTACATTCATTCTTCATTGTTGGCTTTTTATATTATATTTACTCTTCTTTGTTGGCTTTTTATCTTGCATTCATTCTTTATTGTTGGCTTTTTATATTACATTTACTCTTCATTGTGGGCTTTTTATCTTACATTCAGTCTTCATTGTTGGCTTTTTATCTTACATTCATTCTTCATTGTTGGCTTTTTATATCATATTTAGTCTTCATTGTTGGCTTTTTATCTTACATTCATTCTTCATTGTTGGCTTTTTATATTACATTCACTCTTCATTGTTGGCTTTTTATCTTACATTCACTCTTCATTGTTGGCTTTTTATATTATATTTACTCTTCATTGTTGGCTTTTTATCTTACATTCATTCTTCATTGTTGGCTTTTTATCTTACATTTACTCTTCATTGTTGGCTTTTTATCTTACATTCATTCTTCATTCTTGGCTTTTTATCTTACATTCACTCTTCATTGTTGGCTTTTTATCTTACATTCATTCTTCATTGTTGGCTTTTTATCTTACATTCACTCTTCATTGTTGGCTTTTTATCTTACATTCATTCTTAATTGTTGGCTTTTTATATTACATTCACTCTTCATTGTTGGCTTTTTATATCATATTTAGTCTTCATTGTTGGCTTTTTATCTTACATTCATTCTTCATTTTTGGCTTTTTATATTATATTGCTTGTTTTGAATATTTTTTAGATTGAGATTATTAGCTAGTATGTAAAAAAATTAACTCTGTTGAAATTTAATTTTGTATTTATATTTAAATAAAATTAACTCTGTTGATTTTCTTTTGTATTTAATCGATAACAGCGAAGTTACGCATGTTAATGTTAGGAAAAATATTTTGATGTTAAGCAAAACCTGCTCCATCTCGTTTTACATAAATGTTGAAAATTTGGTCGAAATTGATGCATTGTAACGAAAGTTTTTAGTGAACAACACTTATGAATTTTGCATTTTATTAATATAGATATAAATTAGGTATTGTATATAATATAAATTACTAGCGGACGTACCCGGCTTCGCCCGGGTTTTACCCGAGTAAAAGTTTGTCTAACGAATCTCTCGATAAAGTGAACATTTTTTTCCCGGTCCCTTGAAAAATACTCGATAAGTTGAATAAAATCAATATTAATTGGTTCCTTCGGTAATTGGAAGTTAAAGGAATAGTATCTTGCCTTGGAATTGTATCATTATTCTTGTATGGATGTACCCGGCTTCGCCCGGGTTTTACCCGAGTAAAGGTTTGTTTAACGAATCTCTCGATAAAGTGAACATTTTTTCCCGGTCCCTTGAAAAATACTCGATAAGTTGAATAAAATCAATATTAATTGGTTCCCTCGGTAATTGGAAGTTAAAGGAATAGTATCTTGCCTTTGAATTGTATCATTATTCTTGTCTCAAATAAATTGCCGTGTCATCCTGAATTTTGTCTTTCCTAATTTTCTACATTACAAAATCATCGTATCATAATGATAATATTTAGAGCAGATTGTTGAATTATAACAGATAAATTAGAATATTTATCTTGATTATTTCTAGGCGAAAAGTTATTTCAAAAATTTTATTTGCTATAAACCTTCCCAGTACTATACTAAATAACTTCCCAAAGTTTCATGGCGATCCAATGAGTGGTTTGGTCAGGCATAAAGGACAAACAAACAAACAGACACACACACATACATTCATTTTTATATATATAGAAGATACAGTATATATTTTTATTTCATATATTAAAGTGAAAACAGAAGAGGCTTTAAAAAAAAAAGAATTGATCAATTTAATATCATTTAAAAATATAAGAGTTATATTAATATATTTCTCAGCGAATCTTCGGCAGTGACGCGTCATATGCTGGATATAAAATGGATAAGAGAAGAGAAAGGTTTATAAATAAATAGCAAAAAGACTGAACCATGATAATAAACTTCCAAATATTCCCTTCAAACATGAAACAGTAATATATATATGTCGTACCCCACAAGCACTAACAGTCATGGGGCTAAATGGTTCCAGGCGTCTATAGGTAACACAAAGAACGAGGCAGGTTGGATGGCACCTCAGAAAGAGGCCAGCGCTGAAGACGCACCAAGTCCTAGGAGGATGTGATCTACATGAAAAAGGGAAAGATGACCTGTTGTTGTCCGGCCTGTGTGTCAGTATCCAGCGGTGGCGGTAAAACTCATTAACGACTTATGGATGTGCCCTGGAAGGAAATGACTTAATCCTTACGAAATTAAACTTTTTGCTCTGCCTTGAGTGCGGCTTTCTCAATAAAACTTATTATCTTATTTATGATCACATGATGGCCGAGCTGCCGTGTTGAATTGTATCTATATTTTGGGACTGTCACACTATTTATAATTGTGGTACACATGAAAATCTTGTCTATATTAACATGTATTATTACATACTGACGAATGGCCCGGGCAACGCCCGGGTTTTACCCGAGTGCGTATATATTTCAAAAACGTTTTAATTCAAATACTATTCGTTACAATTATAAATTGGCGCCATGGATGTCACCCTTGTGAAACGTCCGTTCCAAACTGTGTGTTTTTAAAATGTTTTAATTAAAATACTATTCGTTACAATTATAAATTGGCGCCGTGGATGTCTCTCTTGTGAAACGTCCCGCCCCAAACTGTGTGTGTCTTGAAAATATAAAAATAAAAATGTGAATTTTCATAAAGATTTAATCATGTCGATTTTTTTTTTTTTGCATTTCACCTAGTAAATCGATAGAGATAATTACATTTGCAACATGAACTTAGGTATATTGACTAAATAGAAAACTGCATAGTAATAAAGATCATTTTTAAAGGCACCATATCGTTTTTTTTTCAATAATATCGAAACAAAAATTAACGATAAATAACGATAATTGCCTTAAAAAGAAATTGCCTTAAAAAAAGAAACATTCGCGGTGATTTTGTCTTGCATTCGTTTATACAATTATTATATACGAATGACCCGGGCAACGCCCGGGTTTTACCCGATTAAATGCTTTTATTCAAATACTATTCGTTACAATTATAAATTGGCGCCGTGGATGTCATTCTTGAATAATATATAAATGAGTTTTGAAAATTGTAAAAAAAAAAAAAAATGCATCGGCCGGGAATCGAACCCGGGCCGACCCGCGTGGCAGGCGAGCATTCTACCACTGAACCACCGATGGTTATGAAAATTCCCATCCGTGAGCTTCAGACAAACAAACAGACAGAATAAGGCAAATATATAAGTAGATACGAATGACCCGGGCAACGCCCGGGTTTTACCCGATTAAATGCTTTTATTCAAATACTATTCGTTACAATTATAAATTGGCGCCGTGGATGTCATTCTTGTATAATATATAAATGAGTTTTAAAAATTGTAAAAAAAAAAATGCATCGGCCGGGAATCGAACCCGCCCGCCCGCGTGGCAGGCGAGCATTCTACCACTGAACCACCCATGGTTATGAAAAATCCCATCCGTGAGCTTCAGACAAACAGACAGAATAAGGCAAATATATAAGTAGATTCACCTATCCCCCGATTTACACGGTACTTGTTTTACACGTTTTCGCTTTTACACGGTTTTCCAAATAAGTTTTTTTTTGTATTCTCACTATACCAAATGCTACTGTGATTGAACACATGCGCTATGTACACATCTCACGAGGAATCCCGAGCTTATGTGCTGACTTGCTGCACACGCACACTGTGTCTGTATTTCTAATTTTTTTAATATTTCAATTTTCGATTTACACGTTTTCTCAGGAACGTATCTACCGTGTAAATCGGGGGATAGGTGTATAACATAACTATTTTTGAAAAAATATATTTTTAATTTTATTATTTTTTTTTAATTATACAAATTTTGACCATTATTTTTGAAACGTCTTTTTTTAGTTAGTTATTACGTTATCTGTAAATTCAATTGTCTTTAATATATTATTTAAAATTGATATATAGGATTAATTAAACACATTTTATATTTTAATATTGATATATATATGTTATATAATTAAAAATGAATGAGATTTCCTGCTTGAATTTAGATCATGTTAAGGATTATGGTAATGGTGATGCAGTCGTGGTTGAAATCTTTAAAGAATGATAATGAAAAATAGTTTTGATCAGTAATTTAATTGAGTTGAAGGAATATATTAAAAAAAAAAGACATAATTTGATCAAAGTAATGCCTGGCTTAAGGCGAGTAGAATAAGGAACACAAAAGATATTATTTACATAATGTACAAAAGTTTTGAGCCGGCCAACGAGTAGAGAGAATATCTTTATTTTACGGGGCTGATAACCAAAATGAATGATTTTTGAGCCCCAAAAGGCCAACGAGAAACAACAACAACGGGTTATATAAAGAAAAAATCGCGACCTCTAGCGGTCGATTTAACTGAGTATTTGTATCTATGAAATATAATTTTTTAAATTAAATAATATTTTTGTATAACATATATATAGATTTTTTCAAGTGTTAAAAATAAACTACTCTGGATAATAAATATTGTCACGGTAGTGATAACGAGTATAACAAAAGTTTAAGTAAAAATAGTTTATTTATAAAATGCCAAACTATTTCTAAAAATTATTTACAAGTAATAATATACAAGAATGGTAAGGGGTGATGACTATGCAAATATTAATGATGATATACCACAGAATATTTAAAATAATTATTCAGTGACATTGCCCCCTTCCTAGATGAACAGCGTCCCGCTGTAATTATCACTTGAACAGATCAGCTTGGTCCTCAGGGTCATGGTAGGGTTTCATTCTCAGTACATGGACCAGGTCTCTTGTTTTGCGTCTCCTGGTTGGTTGGTCCACAGGTTCAACTTCGAAGGTCACGTCAGAGAGTTTCCGAGTAACCCTGTATGGCCCGAAGTACCTTTTCATCAGTTTTTCTGAGAGTCCCACCTTTCTTATCGGGATGAAAATCCATACCAGGTCACCGACGTTGTAATCCATTGCCTCGTGCTTTGAGTCATATCTGGCCTTGTCCTTTTCTTGGGCTTTCAAGGTTTCTAATCTTGCTAGCTGCCTAGTTTCTTCGACTCCCGAGGCAATCTTCTGACTGTAATCCTCTTGGAGATTTTCATGCGGATTTGGGAAAAGAGTGTCTACAGTTGTTTCGGCTTCGCGTCCATGAATCAGTTTAAAAGGGGTTAAAACCTGTCGTATCTTGTTTTGCCGTGTTGTAGGCGAACGTGACGTAGGGCAGGATTACGTCCCAGTCCTTCTGTTCAACACTTACATACATAGCGATCATGTTGGCTAAGGTTTTGTTTAACCTCTCAGTCAGTCCATTCGTCTGGGGATGATACGCTGTCGTGAACCGATGTATCGACGAGCATTGATTGGTGAGTTCCGCAATCAACTTGGATTGAAATACTCGTCCTCGGTCCGTGATGATTTCTCTGGGGGCTCCGTGCTTGAGAACAACATCTTCCATTAAGAACTTGGCTGCTTCTTTTGCTTCCCCTTTGGGTAAGGCTTTAGTAACGGCAAATCGAGTAAGATAGTCGGTACAGACTATGATCCATTTATTACCATTATCAGACTTGGGAAATCTTCCAAGGAGGTCCATTCCAACTCTCTGAAAAGGGGAGGTTGCAGGAGGTATGGCCTTAAGTAGTCCGGGTGGCTTTTGAGTTGATTGTTTCTTTCTTTGGCACTCTTTACAATGAGCGACATACTTCCGTATGTCCCGGAGAAGTCCTGGCCAGAAATATTTATTTTTAACTCTCTCATATGTCTTCGAAAATCCAAGATGACCTGCTGTGGGAGCGTCGTGTAAACTTTTCAGTAGTTCTAAGCGTAAGTGCTTGGGAATAACTAAAAGGTGTTGGTTTCCCAGGGGGTCGAAATTCTTTTTGTATAAGGTTCCTTTTAACATTTCATATCCTTTCGATTCGGCACCAAATCTTTCTGTTTCCTCTATCAATTTACAAATTTTTGGGTCTTTTCTTTGTTCAGCCTCGAAGCACGTCAGAGCAGTTATTGAGGGTATATCATCATCCTCATCATTGTTTGCTTCTTCCGATTCAAGTTGGAGAGGATTTCGAGAAAGACAGTCGGCATCTTGGTGTTTGCGTCCACTTTTATAAACAACCGTTACATTGTATTCTTGGAGTTTTAAAGCCCATCTTGCTAGTCTTCCTGTCGGGTCCTTCAGATTAGATAACCAGCAAAGAGCGTGGTGGTCAGTGACGATGACAAACTCACGACCAAAAAGGTACGGTCGAAATTTGTTGATGGCCCATATTGCGGCCAAGCATTCTCTTTCCGTTGTTGAGTGATTCTTCTCCGCCTTAGATAAAGTTCTTGAAGCATAACCAACTGGTCGCTCTTTCCCATCGTTGATCTGTACGAGGACAGCTCCAATTCCATAACCGCTGGCGTCAGTATGAAGCTCGGTTGGCAGTTGTTCTTCGAAATAGGCAAGAACAGGTTCAGACATCAATGCTTTTTTCAAGGAATCAAAAGCATCCTGTTGGTCAGAGTTCCACATGAATTTATTATCTTTTTTGAGGACTTCGTGTGAAGGAGCAGCTTTCTCAGCAATATTTTCGATAAATCTACGATAATAGGAACATAGGCCAATGAAGCTTCTCACATCTGTTATAGATTTTGGGGTCGGAAACTTGGCGATAGCTTCAATCTTTTCTGGATCGGGATAAATACCTTTACTATCGACGAGGTGTCCAAAAACTCTGATTCGTTTGGTTCCGAAAAGGCACTTTTTTGGGTTGAGGCGTAGCTCGGCCTTGTCAAGACATTGTAGTATGATTTCAAGCCGGTGTAAATGTTCGTTGAACGATTTGGAATACACCACGATGTCGTCTAAATAACAGAGGGCCATCGTCCATTTCAGGCCTTTCAATATCTTGTCCATCATGCGCTCGAATGTTGCAGGGGCATTGCACAGGCCAAAGGGCATGACTAGGAATTCGTAGAGTCCGTCAGGGGTGATAAAGGCAGTTTTTTCTCTATCTGCTTCGTCGACTTCTATTTGCCAATATCCTGAACGAAGGTCCATTGATGAATAAAATTTGGCTCCTTTCAGGGAGTCAAGTGTATCATCGATTCGGGGTAGTGGGTAAACGTCTTTTTTAGTAACTTTGTTTAGTCGTCTGTAATCCACACAGAAACGCCAGTTACCATCCTTCTTCTTCACTAAAATAACCGGCGATGACCATGGACTTTCTGAATGACGTATAATCCCGGCGTCTAGCATTTTGTCCACTTCCGTTTGGATTGCTTGGCGTTCTGTAGGGCAGACTCGATATGGTCTATGCTTAATAGGCTGATGGTTTCCAGTTTCAATTTTATGTTTGGCTAATGAAGTTTGCTTTACAGGTTCATTATTTTTATCAAATATTTTATCATATCGTTTTAAAATTGATAAGATTTGAGACGGCTGCTCTTCTGATAAATCATCACTAATTAAATTTTGTAAAAATATAAAGTCACTTTTATCAGCATGACTGGCATGATTCGCATTTTTCACCTCCTTATTAGATTCAGAACATTCTGAAATAGCCGTCAAGTTATTTTCTTCAACCCTTTGAATTTTTCCTAGGCACATTCCCTTAGGGACTATTTGAGCTGTGTTGCTAGAATTTACGATCCAAAGTTTTCCTTTATTATGGGAAAGCCTGAATAATGCACAGGGAAGTGTTAACCCTTTTCCTATTAATACCTTTTTCGAAGGTTCAAAAAGTACCTGATTTTGCCCATTAAGCTCTTCACTCATAACATTTATTAGTTTGGTAGATTCGGCTGGGGTTACGACGCTTCTGCTAGCCACAACCTTTCCCATGGAAGCTGGTGAATTTAGTACATCTTTGGCCTCTTCCAATCTGATTTCGGCGCGTCCACAATCAATCACGGCATTTGATGCCTCTAGGAAATCCCATCCGAGGATAATACTTGGGTTACTATTAGGGAGGACGATAAACTCAAGCGGCTGTTCCAATCCATTGATGCTCAAGCTGATTGTGCATCGGCCGATCGATGTAACATTCTTGCCATCAGCAACTTTCAGAGTCATTCCGCTATCTTTGAACATGGTCTTTTTTAATTGTCGTCTTAATCCATCAGAGATAACTGAAAAAGAGGAACCTGAATCGACCAGAGCAGAAAATGCAATGTCATCAATGATGATTTCGACATAATTTTGTTGTAATTTAGCGGCTGTCGACGATGGAGGGTTTTTCACACCCGCGGCTTCCCCCTCGAAAGAAGACGCGACGCTTAGTTTTTTTCTAGATTGTAGCGGCGTGGGGATTGGCTTGTATGGCGGCCTGGGGAAATGGACTGGCATCTTGGGGATCTTCCTCTGTTTGGATACGGCGATTGTCTGCGGTAGGTTTGGCTTCTTATGGCTTGGTGGTTGCCCATTTGAGGTTCTTGGGTGCTTGGTGCATGTCCTTCGGGTCTCTGCGTCCATTGT